TTCCGTAGTGATACTGCCTCGGAAACCCAAGGAGGGGTCGCTATGAGTCGGGGCCGACTCGACGGCACATAACAACAACAACAACAACATGCTGGCTACATTCAAAGTTCATGCCCTAAGTCTATTCAGGTTCAATAATGTGAGAAGATTTCAAACATGCTCTGTGATTTTTTTTTAAATTATAGAATTTATTTTTCCTTTTCCATTTCCCTTCCTCCCACCCTCCCTCCCCCTAATTGATTAATGTCTGACCCCAAAATCATTGTGGATTACAAATTAGGTTGTTAAACTAATGAAATTTTCTATGACTAAATATTGGAGTAAAAAATATTGGAGCGCATAGTAGGTGAAGATTCTAGGGTGATTAAATTAAAACCAAAACCAAACTCACTGCTGTCGAGTCAGATCCGACTCATAGCAACCCCTCCTTGGGTTTCTGAGGCAGTAGCACTACAGAAGTAGATTGCCCAACCTTCTTTCTGAAGAGTGGCTGGTGGGTTTGAATAACTAGCCTTCTGGTTAGCAGTCAAATGCCTTGGACACTACAGCACCAGAACTCCCAGGGTGTTAAATTAGATATTAGAATTTTTTTTAAAAAATGCTTTTTGCTCATGAAATATTCTGTTAAGTTACATCTTTGATTGTGATGGAAGTCAAATGTGGTTTCCAGTGCACATCAAAACATATTTTAAATCCTTCTTGCTGTTCACAAAATGTTAGTACTCTCTTCTGACTATTGTATCATATTTAATACTCTTTATATCATATCAAAAACTAATTGATGGTTCCTTAGTATATGGTTTCTGTGCATTAGCTTGGAAGTTATTTTCCATTTGTGATTTTATGTTACCACTTAATGATCACAAAGTTCAATGCAGTCAGTACATTTCTGTACATGGCTCTCAGTCCAAGCAAGATCTACTAAAATATGACAAGTCCTCCTTTGCATTTTTTTTCAGTTAATTACTTTTGTAGGGAAAATTCAACATTTATGGCTTTTCAGTAGTTCATAGCTAAACCATACTGGACATTGATTTGATAGGCTCCATGTTATCATTAAAATTCAAACAAAATATTTGTTTACATATTTTTCTTTCTAGAATTCCCTTAACAGTTATATTTCAGAGCCACTCAGTAGTCTACACAAACTGTTATTACCATACATGTTTCATAACTTTACATCAGGGCACACCATGTTATTCACTTCTGTTGCCACTTTAATAACATCCTTTGCATTAGATATTTACATATGAAATTATCAGTTTATTTTTGACATTTTAGCAATTTTTTAAATTTTTTTTTCATTGTTACTTTGCCTTAATTTAAATACTCTCTGTGGGGTAGAAAATGAATCATATTTCTTGAAATGTGCCTTATAATTTTACTAGATCAGCTGTGCATTTTTTTGTGTCTAATTTTACTTTCTACATTCAGAATTTATTTGAATGGATAAGAAAATGCACTTTCTTCTCCCTTCTTGATAATTGTAGGTGTTACTAGCACTTGTTATTACAAAGGCACATATTTTCATGTTTTGATTGCCTCTTAGAAGCCATATATACAGTCTTCCTTTGACCAGTTTTCCTAAATTAAATGGAGCATTAACAAAACTAGGGCAAAGGCATTTTGTGCTCCATGATTAAAAGATATCACACGTTCTGTGGTGTGGTCTTATTATGTTGTTGTTGTTGTTAGGTGCCATCAAGTCAATTCAGACTCATAGTGACTCCACATACAACAGAATGAAATGCTAACCAGTCCTACACCATCCTCACAATCAATGCTATGTTTGAGCCCATTTTTTCCACCACTGTGTCAGTCCATCATTGAGGGTCTTCCTCTTTTTCTCTGACCCTCTACTTTACCAAGCATGATATACTTCTCCAAGGACAGGTATCTCCTAACATGTCCAAAGCAAGTGAGACCAAGTCTCACCATCCTTCCTTCCAAGGGGCATTCTGGTTGTACTTCTTTGAAGACAGATTTGTTCATTCTTCTGTCCATGGTATATTCAATATTCTATACCAACACCCTAAATCAAAGGCATCAGTTTATCTTTGATCTTCCTTATTCATTGTCTAGCTCTCACATGCATATGAGGCAGTTGAAAATACTATGGTTTGGGGCAAGCACACCTTAGTTCTCAAAGTGACACTTTAAAGAGGTCTTTGTAGCAGATTTTGCCAATGAAGTATGTCATTTGATTTCCTATCTGCTGAATGTTGATTCTGTATCCAAGTAAAATGAAATCCTTGACTACTTTAGTCTCTTCTATATTTATCATGATGTTGCTTATTGATCCAGTTGTGAGTGCTTTTGTTTCATGTCTTTGATTTTCATCTATATGTGTTTAAAATACTCTTTGCTTTCAGCAATGAGTGTCATCTGCATATTGCAGGTAGTTAATGAGTATTCCTCTGATATTGATGCTGTGTTCTTCTTCATGTAGTCCTATTTATTGGATTATTTGCTCGGCATACAGATTTAATAAGTATGGTGAAAGGATACAAGCCTGGAACACACTGTTCCTGATTTTAAACCATGTGGTATGCCCTTGTTCTGTTCAAACAGTTGTCTCCTGGCCTAGGAGGTCTTATTATGCATGCTACTGTGTGTCATCTTGGATTATTTTCTAACCACTATGCTATGTTCTTGTCTTGATATCCTCTTAGGAGGTGGAAACCATCCCCTGCTGGTACCCTATGATACCCTGACAGCCAAAGAAAAAGCTAAGGACAGGGAAAAAGCCCAGGATATTCTCAAGTTCTTGCAGATCAATGGATATGCTGTATCCAGGTAAAAACACAACTACTCTGGTTCCAAATTATTTTCATAAGGTGGAATATTTAAATAGCTTCATGAAATTTTATGCCAAAAAGGAATTCAGTGATCTTTTTAACCTAGCTTAGAGCTACTATTTAGTGTGATCTGTCAGAAACATTAATGGCCATAGCTGTTAACCACATAAGTGAGTTCCTTTGCTACTTATATTAAGCCCCATCCATCATTTATGCAAAATCCCTAAGCAAAAGTCACCCTTTATTTTTCTAAAGACAATGTTTTACTTCATAATAATTGAGTTATTAACTACAGTTTTAATATCAGATTAAACTATTCTTTATAAATTAAATCTCATTTTGCCTTCAGCTATAAGAATATTAGATAAACTCAAAAATTTATACTATTTGCTTTGCACAAAATTTTATCTACTAATAAACTGGAAGGAACTCTGGTAGCGCCATGGTTAAGACTGCTGACCAAAAGGTCAGCCATTTTGACCCACCAGCTGCTCCATGAGAGATAAACGTTGGCGATTTTCTCCCTTAAAGATTGCAGCCTAAAGTGAGGACAACTACAACCAAAAAGAGGAAAAAGACTGTGTAGTCACAGAACTTCTAAATGGTGAAGAAGTTAAGAGAGTTGCAAGATAGAATGGACTGTTGTAACAAGTTCTGTACCTCACACCATACACAAAAACGAACTCCAGATGGATCAAAGACTTAAATGTGAAACCTAAAACTATACAGTTCCTCAAGGAAAATCGAGGGACAAATT